TTAAGATAGAAAAGGGTGAGTTAGTTGAGGTGTCAAGTCATTACTGGTAGTCTGGTTGACTTACCGTTGTTTGGTTCTAAGGTTCGTTTAGAAGTTTACCTATTTGTTGGACCTGGGAACTTTGATGATAACCCCTCCTGTGTGAACCGTGTGTATTTTGCTTAGTGAAGGCTATTGAGCCCACAAGTGTATTCTTCCAGGGAGAAATATTTATTTCATTTTCTACTTTGGGAAGTTTAAAGTGTGCGGACTGTGTCCCTCTTTTGTAACAGACGTTACTGTTAATTTTAATTGTCAGTTGAAGTTGGGTGCTTAATATTTCTTTTTACAAGATGGATTCTTTAGATTTCTGGTTGAAAGCTGGGAAGGAAATGGGATTTACTGGACAAAGCCTTGATAGTTACATTACTGCTAAAATGGCTATTGAAGAGAAAAAAGAACAGGAAAGACTAGCTCGAGAAGAGAAAAAAGAACAGGAAAGACTAGCTCGAGAAGAGAAAAAAGAACAGGAAAGACTAGCTCGAGAGGAAAAAAGACTAGCTCGAGAAGAGAAAAAGGAACAGGAAAGACTAGCTCGGGAAGATAAAATCGAACAGGAAAGAATAGCTAGAGAAGACAGAGTTCAGGCAAGAGAGGTAGCCTTCAAAATGAAGGAAATTGAAGAACAGGCTAAGCAGAGGGAGTTAGAACAATCAAGGTTGGAATTAGAAGCCAAGAAGATAGAACTATCTAAACAGAAAATAGATGAAGGGGTACTAGAATATCCTTCCCAAGAACCTAATATTAGGATGCCACAAATACCACCTTTCTCAGAACAAGATGACATAGCGGCATATTACTAGATTCGAGAGTACTGCTACTCTCTGTGACTGGCCATCAGATTCTTGGGCTACTAGGCTTGGCTTACTACTATCAGGTTCAGCATTAAACGTCTATTCCACTCTACCCTCTGATGTTATTTCTAGTTATAGCCTGCTGAAGAAAGCTATACTTCTGGCTTTCAAAAAAACTACTCATCATTACAGGTCGGAGTTTTAGACACATTAAATAACTCCTAATCAAAATTATATGCAATTCTTAACAACACTTTTCAGATTATTTGATTCGTGGATTGATAGTGCTGAGGTTACCACGATTTCGAATCTTACGAGACCTGATGGTAATAGATCAATTCCTTTCTTCTGTAAACTCTGACTTACGAATATTCATTAAAGAACGAAACGTTCATAACGGCTGCAGAAATGGCACAAGCTGCTGATATATATGCGTGCGCTCATAATAACTACCCTAAAGAGCGTAGCAGATATAAGCCTGTTGTGCCTAAGCAATCTGAGGGATCCAAACCCTCCGTACCTAAGAATTCCACGGCCTTCACAGTAAAGTGTTTCAACTGTAATGAGTGGGGTCATAGAAGGCCCGACTGTCCTAGAAAAAAAGGTGAAAATGTCGGTAAATGTTTCACTGAATCAAACATAAACGCACCTTTTAGTGAAGGTACAGTCAATGGTATGAATGTGTCAACCATTCTTAGAGACACAGGATGTTCCTGTATTGTTATCTCGAGTAAGCTTTTTCCCTAACCTAGATTCTTCACGTTATAAGTCCACTAAATTAACTGACTATTTAGGAAGAAGCGATTCTTTTCCAACAGTCAGATGTTTTGTTAGTGCAAATGGTTCTCAGGATGGGTAGATGCCGTAGTTGCCCCGATAACCTCGTGTTCTGTTTTGTTGGGAACATACAAGGGGCTGCTTTTCCCATCTGAGAAGGACTGTTTGGAATTTGGAGTTTCCAAGGAAGGGTTGGAACCTAATATCTCTGTTTCTTCACAGATAGTTCCAGATGAGATTCAGTTGGATAACCTAAATCAGAGAGCTGATGGTTACAAAACTCCGGTAACACCTTTAGTAAGTCAGTCACTTGAACTGGACAACGCAGACGCCAGTGGAAAACTACGTGGGGCACAATCTATACAACAACTAGACTCAACGTCGTTACCAGAGCTCAGTCTAAGGTAAAACCTATCCACCCATTAGTTCTTTCCAAAGGAAAGCCAATCGAGCTGTCTCATATAGATTAGAGGGTCTTCAAAGACTTGTCCTTCCTTAGAGGAATCTCGGAAGTTAGCTTTAAATGGCAAGGTGACCCAAAGAAAGAAATTTTCTTACAAGTTTGAGTTCAAACACGATCTTTTGTACAAGACTTTAGAGTCTGCGGACAAACCCAATGACGTTGGTCGAAGCCTGTTAGTCATTCCGCAGGATTGCCGTGAAACCATTTTAAAGATTTCGCATGACTTGCCATCTCTGGCCATTTTTCACATAGGAAGACCTATAATAAAATCAAGGACCTATATTTCTGGCCTAGCATGTCCTCTGACATCTATAAGTACTGCAGATCATGTCACGTATGTCAACTTTCCACGCAGAAGGGTAGAACTAGGAGAGTTCCTATGGTAAAGATGCCAATTTTCTCGGTCCCTTTTGCAAGGGTTGCAGTAGATATAGTTGGTCCTATCACACCTCGCTCATCAGGAGGCCATAAATATATTTTAACTATGATGACTACGCGTCCAGCTTCCCAGAGGCGGTAACCCTTAAAGTCCATTACGTCCATAGAAGTCGCAGAAGCCTTATTTTCTATTTTTTCACGTGTAGGTATACCTCGTGAAATTCTGTCGGATAAAGGGGCTCAATTCACTTCAGAATTAATGGAACACGTTTATCAACTGTGGGTGTTAAACCTCTTTTCACTACACCTTACCATCCGATGTGTAACGGAAGAGTGGAGCGACAACATGCCATCCTAAAGTCAATACTAAAAAAACTATGTATTCTTAAACCAACGGATTGGCATAGATTTTTACCATGTGCTCTTTTCGCAATGCGCGAGATTCCAAGTGATTCCCTTGGTTATCCCCTTTCGAATTGCTTTATGGGAGACAAGCTCGTGGTCCACTATCTATTTTGAATGAACTTTGGTCAAAGATATCAAACCTGAGGTTCAAAACAGCTATCAGTTTCTTTTAGATCTAAGGGAAAGGTTGGAAGAAACCGCAGATTTGGTCAGTAAAAAAACCCAGAGATGTCTATGGAAACATCCAAGACCTATTTTGACCATAAAAGCTCCAAGCGCACGTTTAATGTTGGTGATGAAGTTTTAGTTCTCCAACCTGACAATCCAACAAATTGCTAATTACATGGCGCGGACCGTATAAAGTAGTGAAGGTCTGCAATAAGGTAGATTATATCTTGGATGTCAAGGGTAGAGAAAGAATGTATCAAGTCAATATTTTGAAACGGTACCATCGAAGAGAAGTTAATCTTTGCGTAAATGCCTTTGACGAAGATGCTTCTTCTTTCGGCTTGGATACAAGTGGTGATTCGTACGAATGTAGAATTTGTATTATAGATGACTAGTCTTTTACAGAATCGAAGGAGCTACTGGACATCGTAACGCATGATCCCTCACCAAAGAAGTCAAATGTCAACATTAACAACGACTTGTCGAATAGGCAAAAGTCTCAAGTAAGTGCCTTAGTAAACACATTTTCTGACGTATTCACAGAGGTACCAGGACTTACCACCACTATTGTACACAAGATTGAATTGTCGGATCATGAACCAGTAAGGCGGAAAATCTACCCTGTTCCCGTTTCACTTACGGAAAACTTTTGATAATGAGGTTGACAAACTATTTAACTTAAATATCATAGAACCTTCGAAGTCGGCTTTCTGTTCACCAGTTGTTATGGTTAAGAAACCGATAATTCTTACCGACTGGCACAAGATTTTCGTTATCTGAATACTATAACTAAATGGGATGCAGAACCCATGCCAGTAATTGATCATGACTTGTATAAATTCCATGACTGCAAATTCTTCTCGGAATTAGACATCTCACAAGCATACCATCAAGTGCCATTACACCCAGACTCTAAACCATACACTGCTTTCCCTACTCATAGAGGTCTAATGCAATACCGCACAATGCCTTTCGGCTTGGTTACCGCGTGTGCCACGTATATTAGGCTTATGAGAATAGTTCTTTCTGATCTAAAGAATGTATCAGTGTATTTTGATAATATTTATATCATGACAAATGTCTGGGAAGACCATCTAAATACACTATCGCTTGTTTTGAAAAGACTAAGAACTCATGGACTTACAGTTAAACCACAAAAGTGCTTTCTTGGCTATCATAAGGTACAATACCTTGGGTTCATTATCTCTGATAACAACTTTTCACCACTTCCTAATAAGACCAAAGCTGTTTTAGAAAGTACGTTCCCTGCTACCAAAAAGTTATTAAGAAGTTTCCTTGGATCTGTAAACTTCTATAGAAATTTCGTACCAAATCTAAGTAGCTTAACTTCAGTTCTTACAGACTATTTGAAAAAGGGTGTCAAGGAACCTCTTAGTTGTTCTGAGGAAGCCCTCCAAAGCTTCGAAGAAATTAAGAGGATATTTTCAAACCCCCCTGTCCTAAAATTACCAGATATTAATAAAATATTTTGTCTCCGAACAGATGCCTCCATTCTGGACTCGGGGCTGTACTACTTCAAATATTATGAGGAGACGCCTTTCCAGTATCTTTCGCCAGTAAGAAGCTTCTGCCCAGAGAAGAAAGATATATCCACTGTGGAGAAAGAATGTTATGCTTTAGTATGGGGTATAAGTAGATTTAAATACTACCTATACGGTAAACCCTTTGTGCTTGAAACAGATCACAAGCCACTGATGTACTTGGAAAACTTTAAAGGGTCAAATAGCAGACTCTTGAATGGGCTCTGGCTATTCAGCCCTATAAGTTTAAAGTCGTTTATATTTCTGGCTCTGAAAACCACTTTTCAGATTGGCTGAGCCGAGGTTGTATTTAGTGCTTTTCCCTCTGTTCGTTGACTTATTGACTCCGTCCATAAGTTTTGGAAGGGGGTATTGTGAGGGAAAAGTAGGTGTTAAGTGGGGTTAAGGTTGTTCGGGCAACCAGGACCATTAGAGAGTTACGTTGCGCGCGCACACACCCCCCCCCTCTCTGGCGGGCTGGGGCAAAACTAGTTCCTGGTGTCCGATTTGTTAAAGTTTCTACTCCTGGTAATATTGACCTTACCTGGTGTGGATGGAAGTTTGGAGAGTCACTTCGCCTCCACTCTTCTCCTAATCAGGTAGGGTGATCTACCAGGAGTATTACTGTTTGTTCTTTTCTAGTGTTTGCTGGTTACCAGTAATGATTTTGACATTTATCATTCTTTTTCTTTCTTAGATGTTATATTATCATGACTATGGGTAACCAGTTTTATTTTCTCTTATTTGTCAGCTCTGTTCCTGGCGTGGTCTTCCAGGATAGACGCCAGATAAAGGGGCAAGACGTGTGTTAATAATACTTATTAACATTATTCTACAACTACCGGCCCTTACCTATACTACTTGTGCTCCATCCAAGTGGTAGGAGATTCCAGAACATCGGATTACCATCTGCCCAGGATAACCTACATAAATAACATCAGAGGAACTATCTAGGGCCATACCTACTCCTACCCAACTACCTGAATTGAAGGCCATATTTTTTTTATTATATTTAAATTTTAAGTAAAATTCTCAAAAATCATTTTATCTTGTTTTTCCTTAAATCATTTCTTTATTTATTTATTTTTCCATTAGTTTCTTTTGTTCAGTTGGAAGGCGTTCCACTGACACTCTCCTCCACTCATGGGAGGTTCCTTCATGCTGGGCTCTTGATCCAAGGAAGTGGTCTTCTTCTCCCCTTCCTTGGATCAAATCTGATTGCCTACCATTTCTAAATTTGCTGAAACTGCGTCCATATAATCTTGCATAAGTAAATATTATTGTCTAATATTCCTTAGTGATAAATACTGTTTATTCCTAGTGATAAGTATATCATATACATTTATAATATACATTGAAAGTGAGGAGTATATACCTGGAGAGGGTTTCGGAGGGGTCAGCGCCCCCGCGGCCCGGTCTGTGACCAGGCCTCGTGGCCGCACGTAAACTGACGTACGAACCACAGTCCGGCTGGTCGGGTACTGACTTTAGGTGCCTGTCCTGCGCCTTCTTGAAGACAGCCAGGGGTCTATTTGAAATAGTAGAGTACGGGTAGTAGAGTACAAGTAGAAGAGTACAAACCATACCACAGGCGGGATTGAACCCGCGGTCAGAGAGTCTCAAAACTCCAGACCGTCGCGTTAGCCACTTGTACCACAGGTATGTCTCTCTCCACTTGTACCACAGGGTATGTCCCTCTCCACTTGTACCACAGGGTATGTCCCTCTCCACTTGTACCACAGGGTTATGTCCCTCTTCACTTGTACCACAGGGTATGTCCCTCTCCACTTGTACCACAGGGTTACGTCCCTCTCCACTTGTACCACAGGGTATGTCCCTCTTCACTTGTACCACAGGGTATGTCCCTCTCCACTGTCCCCACAGGGTATGCCCCTCTTCACTTGTAACACGGGGTTTCCCTCTTCACTTTACCACGGGGATGCCCCCTTCCACTTGTACCACGGGGTTACGTCCTCTCCACTTGTACCACAAGGTATGTCCCCCCTCCACTTGTACACGGGGTATGTCCCTCCCCTTTTTCCACAAGGCAATCCCTCTCCACTTGTACCACGGTCTGGAGTTTTGAGACTGGCCTCGGTTCAATCCCCCCGTGTAGGTTTGTTTTCAATCGTGTCATTACGTTTCGTGATCAGAAGAGTACAGATGGGAGAGCACGAGTAGTAGAGTATAAGTAGTAGATGCAGGTATAGAGTGCGGTAGTAGATGCAGGTAGTAGAGTGCAGGGAGTAGAGTGCAGGGAGTAGAGTGCAGGTAGTAAGTGCAGGGAGTAAGTGCAGGAAAAATGCAGGGAGTAAAGTGCAGTAGTAAGTGCAGGTATAGAGGCAGGTAGTGAGTGCAGGTAGTAGAGTGCAGGTAGTAGAGTGCAGGTAGAGAGTGCAGGAGTAGGTGCAGGTATGAGTGCAGGTAGTAAGTGCAGGTAGAGAGTGCAGGTAAGAGGCAGGTAAAGGGGGAGTGCAGGTAGTAGAGTCAGTAGTAGATGCAGGTAGAGAGTGCAGGTAGTAATGCAGGGAGTAAGTGCAGGTAGTAAGTGCAGGAGTAAGTGCGGTAAGAGTGCAGGTAGTAATCAGGGAGTAGGCAGGTAGTAATGCAGGGAGTAAGTGCAGGTAGTAGAGTCAGGTGTGAGAGGAAGGTAGGTTAGGTGCAGGTAGAAATGCAGGTATAAGTGCAGGTAGTAGATGCAGGGAGTAAGTGCAGGGAGAAAAGTGCAGGTATAGATGCAGGGAGGAAAATGCAGGGATAGAGTGCAGGTATAGAGTTCAGGTAGTAGAGTGCAGTAGTAAGGGGCAGGATTTAGAGTGCATAGTAGAGTGCAGGTAGAGAGTGCAGGAGTAGATGCAGGGATAGAGTGCAGGGAGTAAGTGCAGGAGTAAGGGGGCAGGGATAGGGCAGGTGTAAGTGCAGGTAGTAGAGTGCAGGTAGTAGAGTGCAGGTAGTAGAGTGCAGGTAGTAGAGTGCAGGTAGTAGAGTGCAGGTAGTAGAGTGCAGGTAGTAGAGTGCAGGTAGTAAGCAGTAATAGAGTGCAGGTAGAGAGTGCAGGTAGTAGAGTGCAGTGTAATGCAGGGGAGTAGAGTGCAGGAGTAAGTGGGGGTAGAGAGTGCGGTAGTAAGGAGGTGAAGGAAAAAGAGTGCAGGGAGTAAGTGCAGGGATAGAGTGCAGGAGTAAGTGCAGGTAGAGAGTGCAGGTAGAGAGTGCATATAGAGTGCAGGTATGAGTGCAGGTAGTAAAAGGGGCAGGTAGAAGGCAGGGATAAAAAGTGCAGGGATAGAGGCAGGTATAAGTGAGGTAGAGAGTCAGTATGAGTGCAGGAAGATGCAGGATAGAGTGCAGGGTTTGAGTGCAGTATAAGGCAGGTAGTAGGTGCAGGTAGTAGATGCGGGAGTAGAGGCAGGGAAGAGGCAGGTGTAGGTGCAGGTGTAGAGGCAGGGTTTGTAGAGGCAGGGAGTAGAGTGCAAAGGTAGTTAGAGTGCAGGTATAGAGTGCAGGTAGTAGAGTGGGAGTAAAAAGGGGCGGTATAAGTTAGGGAAATAGAGTGCAGGTAGTAGAGTGCAGGAGTAAGGCAGGATAGATGCAGGTATAGAGTGCAGGGATAAGTGCAGTAGTAAGTCAGGTATAAGTGCAGGTAGTAGAGTGCAGGGATAGAGTGCAGGTAGTAAGTGCAGGTAGTAGATGCAGGGAGTAGAGTGCAGGTAGTAGGTGCAGGTAGTAGAGTGCAGGAGTAGAGTCAGGTATAGATGCAGGTAGTAGAGGGCAGGGAGTAGAGTGCGGGAGTAGAGTGCAGGAGTAGAGTGCAGTAGTAAGTCAGGTAGTAAGTGCAGGTATAAATGCAGGTATAAATGCAGGATAGATGCAGGTAGTAGAGTGCAGGGATAATGCAGGAGTAGAGTGGGAGGTAGTAAGGGGCAGGGAGAGTGCAGGTATAGAGTGCAGGGAGTAAAGTTGGGAGGTAGTAGAGTGCAGGTAGTAGAGTGCAGGGAGTAGAGGCAGGAGTAGAGTGAGGTAGTAGAGTGGCAGGGAGTAGACAGGGGGAAATAGGGGTAGAGTGCAGGGAGTAGAGTGCAGGGAGAATGCAGGGAGTAGAGTGCAGGAAGTAGAGTCAGGGATAGAGTGCAGTAGTAGAGTGCAGGTAGTAGAGTGCAGGTAGTAAATAAGAGTGCAGGTAGTAATGCAGGAGTAGAGTGCAGGGAGTAGAGTGCAGGAGAGATGAGGGATAATGCAGGGAGTAAGTGCAGGTAGTAGAGTGCAGGTAGTAAGGCAGGTAGTAGGTGCAGGAAAAGGAGGCAGGTAGTAGAGTGCGGTAGTAGAGTGCGGGTAGTAGAGGAAAAGGTTAGAGTGCAGTATAGAGTGCGGGTGTAGAGTGCAGGTAGTAAGTGCAAGAAAGTGCAGGTATAGAGTGCAGGTAGTAGAGTGCGGTAGTAATCGGGTATAGATGCAGGTATAGAGTGCAGGTAGTAAGTGCAGGTAGTAAGTGCGGGTAGTAGGTGCAGGTAGTGAGGGGCATATAGATGCAGGTAGTAGATGCGGAAAGAGATGCAGGTAGAGAGTCGGGTAGAAAGGGGCATGTAGAGAGTGCAGGTAAAAATAAGAGTGCGGGTAGAGAGTGCAGTAGAAGTGCAGGTAAGAGTGCAGTAGTAGGGGCAGGATAAGTGCAGGTAGAGAATGCAGGATAAGACTATATATACATACATAATACTATACATACTATTAAACAGCTGTCAGACAAATAACAACAACGTGCGATTCGCTTTTTTTAATTAACTTGATTACCACTGTTAGAAGGAGTGCTCTTCCCTCATGCTTTGTTGTGGGTTAAACTAGGCCAAGTCGGGATCCCAAAACCCAAAACCAGTGCCAAAACTATTAATCCCAAAGCTTGGTTCGATCTTTTTGCGATGGTTACCTAGGAACTAATAACATTTTGTTTTATATTTTCTTTTCCAAAAATTAAACCCGCGCCCCTTTTTTAAAGATTCATGATGGTGACTTTGAGGGGGCTAGAGCTGGAGTTCGTCACCGCCACCGGGGAAAATATTCATCTTACAAAATTTCATTTTGGTTTCAGTTGACCTGTGCTAACCTCTCTAGGCTATAAATATACAAAGCTGGATGACTCTTTTTTAACCACTGGCCCAGTGGCATACGCACTTGCTTGGAAATTTTACGACTCAGTTGCCACGGTTTTTCCCCACCCTGTAAGGTTAGGGATGGGAGATTGTGGAACAAAATTTGGCTGTATTTTTCATAATCTCCGTACAGACAGGTTTTTTAAATAGGGAAATTGGGTAAAGGAATCTGTCAGCCTAGTTGAAGTCCACAGACCCATTTCCCCGTGAGTACAGTAAATCGACTGGCCTTCATATTTTTCTTATTTTGAGGAACGTTAAAAAACCCCCGGGGGTAATACAGCCACTGGGAAAGGTCGGCAATCTGGGTTAATCCGAGGAGGAGGGGGAGGAGGGATTTGTTTCTAGCGCGAGGGACCTCCTTTAAAAGCTTTGGTATTCAAAGTTTAGTTTTCCCGTAAGTTTCAGTTACCGTTAAGTGGGTGACCATCTGAGTCAGGATGACTTATTCCATAAACAAGCAAAGAAAAGATAAATATTATCACACAAAGTAATCAATATAAAAGTCGACTAACTTTTTTCCACCCGTTC